CCTCAATAGGAACTACTAATTACTACTGCAACAGGAGCTGCTCAACGGTCCCGCATGTAGCTGCTCAACTGAACAACACAGTGACAAGGTCACTGAGAAATGGACCGTGCAGTGACGCTAGCTTTGCCACGGAGGTACGACTGGAGCTTAGCGATGCCGATGCTGTAGCTGCTGCTGAGGCAAAGTACCGGGATTTCGAATTTTCGGTAGGTAAAATCTAGGGCAACGTATTTATACTTGGGATGTTCAGGCCAATGCTGTTAGTGAAAAAATGTCCTGTATAGCTGTCTTTTCTGTGTGCGTACGACCGTATCTCAGCGATGCTGATACTGACATGTATATAAGTATCAATAATAGAATAGCTCACCACCTGATATGCTTCTATATTGTCTTGATTGTAACGGTTGTCTGTGGTTTTATGGCAGTGCGATATTTCTGGCGATAGTAGGATACAATACGCTATGGGGATACGCAGTGGGTACGAAAGCACACACATATGTGGATGCGGATATATTTTTTCACTGTCCTGACACCCTCATAACAGTACTTCTCATTGGATGAGTATTAGTTCCCATCTGTCCCAACACACTAAGGTATAGTAGTTTCTCATTGAGCATGGGTCTAATTCTAGCTATGCTAAAACCCTCATACCTGATATTATTCTTACTTTCAGATTGCGACAGCTATCAGTGGCAATATGATGGCAGCCATCAATCTGAGTCTTAGTGCATTTGCGACCCATTTCATCGATCGCAGTTTCGAACGCACGGGCCAAATGATTATTGTGGTATCCGCAGGCACCGGTATATTCGAGGTGAGTTTGATTTATATATAGGCAGTAGGGCATATACATAGCGCTATCTTACATTACCCAGACTTTGATTTAAGCTACAATAGTATAGCGGTTATACGTTTATGCTTCGAACGTACGAGCCAAAGAATCATTGTGGTGAATGCCGGCATTGGTGTATTTGAGGTGAGGTTGATTTATATGTAAGCAGAAGGACATATACATAGCGCTGGCATACATCACCCAAACTCTGATGTGAATACAACAATAGATCGTACATATGAGCCAAATAAACGTTGTGGTTACTGCAGGCACCGGGGTGTTCGAGATGTTTCTTGTGCATAGTGAATTCGCGAGACGTGAAGTTTGATCTATTGGTGACACAGACGGTTATGTGCGTAAGCTGACCTGTTTATGTATCATTTATGGCTGTGTGCCGCTCACTATTGGGTCAAACTCGGTAGAATAGTCATCGTAATACGACCCTTACATCCGTATGCTTGTACGTCGTGGGTATGCCAGCTTTGGTCGACGCGTGGGGGCGGATGTTGTTTGCATGAACCAACCTCCGGTGCATTTCATCTTCAATACTATGTCTTCTCATATATATATGTATACATATGTATTTTTGGGTGTGTATACATATGTATACTTATACATCTACATTTTTCTATATGTGTATTGATACCATATCGTCACTGTCATACAAAGCATGCTCTCTGTGTTTCGGAATACCCGTATTTATTGTGTACAGTCAAGATCCTCAGTGAGCAACGGGTGGCAGTGGTAAACAGCGGTGGGGGTGCGGGCATCGCGTGCATGAGCCAACCTCTCGTACAGTACAAGCTATAATATTCCTTATCATTCATACGTATATGATAGTACCTCACACCCACGTGCATGTTATATACAGTCCACATTCACAAGTATGTGATAGACAACGGGGTGGGGATGGATATTGTGTGCATGAGCCAACCTCTTTTATTACTCAAGCTATTATATCGCTTACCTTACATACTTGATAGTATTGATGTACTCAAAACACGTTATACTCACACCCCCGTGGACGGTGCATACAGTCCACACCTACGCTGGCAGCATTCAGCAAACAACGTGTGGTAGACAACGGCGTAGGGGTGGATATCGTGTGCATGAGTCAGCCTCCACTGCATCTGGTGCCACTGCTGGTTAGCAAGGAGTCTCAGTTTGCGTCCAATCCCTACTGGCTGCGGCAGTGCTTCTACTCGAACACACACCAGATGGACAGCCACCTCAAATACCGGTACGTCCCGGAATACTCATTTGTATATAATATTTATTCGGACGGTTGGTCCCATGTGGTGTTTGTATCTCTGCTTGTTTGTAACGAGTCTCAGTTCGCCTTCAATTCCTATTGGCTACGTTTTCATTTGTATTTTTAGACCGGTGCGACTTGCTACTCATAGTATTTGTTTTGGGTTACATTTTCAATTCTATTTTTTAGACCAGCGCGATTTGTGCCGCGGGTGGTAGGGGCCCGCCCCTCGGGTGACAGTACGTTTATTAGCAGCTGCCATCTCATGACTCCTAGGCCAGACGATGAAGAACCAGCCCAAGTGAGAGACTACCCACCCACCCACACAGCCACACCAACAGACACGCACACACAGATAGAGTCCAGTGAGACGGACACACACGCAAAAACACACGTGAATGTGGATTCGAATACGAATGCGGATGGGAAGATACATACCGGGGGTAGTGTCAGTGGGAGTGGAGGTAGGGCTTTTGGAGGTGCCAAGGGTAGTGTGCCTAATAAGGATATGAAAGCTCGTCATAAACTACACGACGACCAAGTGTTCACGGCTACAAAACCGCCACAGTCGCCTTACTACAGTCTGCAGGTGAGTATGGCTGATTTATAGACTTTTTCGTGGTCAATTCATAGACTACAGTTTACAGGTGTGTAGAATATGTGTATTTATACACGCTTGCATACTCTTTTACCGATCATTTCTCAGGGAGGAATGGCCGGCTCTCTCGCCAAACTCAGCCTGGCACCCAGTTGTACCAGCAACAGTAATACCTATACCAATGGCGGTATTATCTACCCAAATGTCCTGGGTGGTCCAGAAAGTCGGACTTTAGGTGCAGGGCCGTCGGGTACAGAGGCCGGAGCATTCGGCTCGCTGGCCAGCAACTCTATGGGTGTCTCTGAGCACCAATACCACACCAACAACCAGTACATCAGCAGCCAGCTGTCTGGCAGTATACGACAATCACAGCCGCAAGCATTACATTCACAGTCACACACTCGCTTACCTACCCGAGCGAACGCACCCGTACAAGTACAAGCTAATACGCTGTATGCACAGGGCGAGGCTTTAAGCCGCGGCACGGAACACCAACCCTTGACTGCGGGGAATAGCGAGCCCTCGGGCATGTGGAAGATGGATGAGTTGTCAGCCATGGGCAGCCATAGTGGACAATTAAACGGGAATGCACAGTACCTGACGAGCTCGCACGCGACGTACTCGCCGACCTCGAACGCTAACTACCACCGCAATACGCCGTCTCGCGCACACACACCGCTGAGCAATATAATGACCATGTTCACCCAGCCCACGCCTAGCCAGGCACACAACCACCCACACAGCCAGCAGCACTCGTACGCCCAGGTGCATGGCCATACCCACGGCTATACGAATACGGGCACGAGCATGAGTATGAATGTGAACATGAATGTGAATGGGACTGGCAGTGGTAATGCACACGGTCAGCCGCAGACATACGCACAGATGTACGGGCAACATTCAAACACCACACATGCGCCGTCACGCACACAGCCAGGCACACCTCAGGCACACAACGCACATATGTCCACAACCAAATCGCTGGGGAGTAGAGACCCTCTGACTGGCAGACACCACTCGATGCAGCCGATGGACGGTACTCCACCTACTATGCCCATGCACGTGTGAGTCAG